GCGCACACCCGCTCACCCCGTCGGCCTGGAGCTTGCCCGCCGCTGCGCTGCCCCGCGGACGAGCCACGGCGCTAAGTAGCTCCTCGCCCAGCGGCTGGAAACGCGGCATAAATATGTAGGGACTGAGCCGTGAGCTCAGCGAGGGTCGTGAGGGGGAATTTATTTCTTAATGTCCCTCCTTTATCCTATCATCGCTGAAACGAATTAGCGGTGACGTCCAACCCGGCTGGTTTATGGGTGTGGGGAGGGAGACGTCGCAACCCCTCATTAAAAGAGCCGCTCTGGGCTCCAAAGCATACATCTTTTATATAACCTAATTTCCATTTTTTTTTTTTCTATCAATCAGGAAACACACACACACACACACACACACACACACACACACACACACACACACACACACACAATTTCTGGGAGCCTGGAGGGGGCTGAATGTAGTAGCCACAAGGGCAGCTCTCTTAGGCAGAATATTGTCCACATCACTGTTGGGACAACATTATTCAACGGACAGTGGGATCCACAGCCTCCCAGGCTGGGCAGGGCTGGAAGCCCCTGGGAGTCCCCAGGAGGTTGCTCCCTGAGCTCAGTCCCTGGCAGCCAGTTCTGGAAATGTGGCCTCATCCTTGTCCCTGGACGAGGCCTGGCAGCTGGGGCCAGAGGATCAGGGAAGGGACAGGCTCACCTGTGGCCTGTAGACCTGCAGGTGGGGAAAAGCCAAGGGCTGGGACGGGGGAGGGGAAGACAGAGCACCAAGCTCTCCTTTTTTCCTTAGGGGCCCTAACATATGGGTAACCATATAAACCCATCTCAAAAGCTGTCTTTTCCTGGGCAGATTTGCAAAAGATTTTGCATTTCACTGTTGCTCACACACTCTTGGGGAAATGGGGAAAATCAAGGAAAGAGAGTAGAATTCAGACTCACACTCAACACACCTTGACACGCAGCACCTGGCTCTGGGTGGCCTGATCTCCCAGCCTCACGGAGGGCAGCAAGCCCGCTCAGGCTCAGAGTTGTGCAGAAAAGAGGCAAAGAGGAAGTCACCAGCCCCCTTTGTCACTAATAAATGCTTTTCAGACTGTCTTGCACATCAAGCATGAGAGAAGGGGGTGTGACTTTGGGGGCAGGAAGAGGGGTGTGGGGCGCAGGGAGGGGAGGAAGGAATACAAAGCTGGCGGGGTGCGTGGAGGTCTGTGTTGTCTTTCGACACACTGGAAGACACAAGAAATTCCTTCTCGGCCTTGGCCTCTGCCACTTCCTGACTGTGCCCCAGGGGGCAAGTTCCAGAGTCTCAGCTTCCCCAGTGGTGTGGTGGGCCTGGGGTCATTGTGAAGATGCTTACAATAAGATGGTACTGGCAAAGAGCTCTCGACGTAGTGCCTGGCATATAGTAAGTGCTCAGTAAACAGGAGCCAAAAATAATGATAACGATGATGAGAAGAAGAACAGTGACCTAAAAGCTGTTTGGGGCATCTCCGGGAAGCCAGGCTAGAGCTGAGTCCTTCCAGCGTAGGCCCTGTTCCCCCCGCCTGAACCGTTTCAAAGTTGAGCGCTGGGCTTCAGTGGTGTCAGACTCAGAACACTGCTCCCCTCAATTACCATGGCAACTGGGGAAAATCAGGAAGCCAGGGGGAAGGGAAGTCAGACCCGAAGAGGCCCAGGGTGGGGCGCTGCCTCTCCTGAAACTGGGGAGAAGGGTAGCTGGTAGGGGATGGGCAGCCACCAGATGGTGGGTTCAGGGCCAAGGCTGTGCCTGCAGAAGGTGGAGTTGGCCTGGACTCAGGGAAAAGGGAATAGAAAACCCCTTCCCCAATTCTGTCCTCACCACCAGGTGTCCTGGTGGCACTGAGAGCAGAGCATGGCAGGTAACTGATCTCGGGAGGCAGAGGTTTGGGAAGACAGGGCCCCTGAGCTCGGGGCCCTGTGTGGGGGTGTGAGAGAGATCAGGAGAAAGAAATAGAAAGTGGGAGGAAGGGAGGGAGAGAGAGACAGACAGCCAGAGAGAGAGAGAGAGAGGGGAAGGGCAGTGGGGGCAGGACAGAAGCACAGGACAGAGAGAGAGACTAGCTGAGAGGGATTTAAAGAGAGAGAGGGAAGGAGGGAGGGAGAGAGAGGAAGAGAGAGAAACCTTCTTCCTTGACTCTGTCCATCGGGTTAGGGGACCAGTAACAAACAATACTAGTTGTAGTAGTAGAGAGAATAATGGCTCTCTTGTATTGAGCACTTTGCCAATCTTGAACCAAGCATTTTATGAGACCATCTCACTGAATTATCATAAAAATTGCAAGAGATGATTCCTTTTCTCATTCCCGTTTTGCAGAGGGGAAAGCAGAGGCTCTGAGAGGCAAAGCCACTTGCTCCAGGTTACCCACTTAATTGGTGGTAAAGCAGCTGTTAGAACTCTGGTCCTACTGACCCCAAATTGGGGGTTCTTCCTGCCTCCCCATCGCCGCCTTGTGGAGAAAGAAGGGGAGTGACTATTCAGAATTATCTTTTGGGGTGGCAGGGAAGTGTCTGGGTTTGGGGATCCTTCTTCGCTGTGCTGGGCCATGACCCCAGAGGGCTTCAACAACTGGTACTGAAAGACCAGAGACTCATAGGCACACGGTGGCCCTCAGACTGTGCAGTGCTGGTGCCCCAGAAGCTCCTGCGTAAGGTGCGTCATGAAGTCCTTCCTCCTATGAGGCTGCCTGGCCACTCACCCTAATCTGATTCTCTCTGGAACCCTTGATGTTCATGGGGAGACGTCGATAATGCCACCCTTCCCCTGGATTCAAGCAGCTGAGCCCCATCCAGGGGTCAGCACAGAGCAAGCAGTCCATAAATGGTCACTATGATAATAATTATTCCTGGATCTTTTCTCGGGCCCCCACCTTCCGTCCCCGTGTGGCTGGCAGGTGGATAAAAGGCCTCTCCCAACAGAAGAAAGACGGCCCCCTTTTCCCTCTCCTTGCCACCTAGACCCTAACCAGCCTCTGTTCAGCAGCTTAGAGGTGGCCTCTGGAGGGTGGGAGCAGAGTGCTCTGGCAGAGCCAAGGGGAGGAGAGGGAAGAGGAGGTTCGCTGATGTGGCTGCCACCGAGGGGGTAATACATTATCCAGGGCTAATGAAAACATAATTATCTTCTTTTGGCTGCAGAGAGGGGCTAATTTAATAGGCTGCGATCGAAAGGCATCTGCTGAATTCACCCAGCAATGAAAACACTTGAAAGGCTTGGGCAGCGGTGGGGAGCAGGCAGAGAGCGTGCGGCTGGCTAGGCCCTGCAGCTGTGTCAACGTGGCAGCTCCCCCAGGGGAGGGGGACGTGGGGCAGAGAGGGTGTGGCAGCTGACAGGTGTCCTATGAACAGACAGACTGAGCTACTTTCTCGCTCTGTGATCTTGGGCCTGTTCTCTGCTTCTCTGAGCCTTAGTTTCCTCATCTGGGGTTCCTCAAATGGGGTTGATCCTGCCTCCCTCCTGTTGTTTGCGGGGCGGGGCGGTGATGGGACAGATGAGAAATGTGAGAGGGATCCAGGCACATTCTCAGTACGTGTTTAACAAAGTTTTCTCCTTCCTGCTGCTTTGCTGGGCCAGTTCTATTTAGGGGTCTTAGCCTAGATGCCCCCTCTCTGGAGACACCCCTCTCTGAGCTTCCACAGCACCCTGCACCTCCCCTTTCATAATAGTATGCTCTGTAGGATATGGATTCGTTCAGTGCTGGCCTGAGAAGAGCTCCACAAGGGCAGGGAGGGTCTGTCTCATTTGTCCCTCAAAGCCTGTTCCCTGGACCTGAGGCCTTCAGCATCCACTGGGAACTTATCAGAAATGCCGGTGTTTGGGCTCTGCCCCAGACCTGCT